AGAGAAGAGAGAAGAGAGAAGAGAGAAGAGAGAAGAGAGAAGAGAGAAGAGAGAAGAGAGAAGAGAGAAGAGAGAAGAGAGAAGAGAGTCTGGCCAAGTCCTGCTTTTTTTTTTTTCTGAAACAATCTTGTTTGTGGCTTCCTGAGATTTGGTAGAAATCCATTCTTTGGCAGTCGGCAAGGCTGAAGCTGTACAAAGGGGAATGTTCTTCTCAGCCTTCCGCACACCACTTTGTGCTGGGAGCTACTTCTTAGCCAAGTTGGAACTGTGCCGCCATGGCTGCAGGGGCTGGAGAGGGCCTTGAGGGCTCTGCTGTCCACCCAGAGAGCTGTCAACACAGCTGTTGTTTTTCACTGAGGACTGTCTTGCTGGTCAGAAGCCCAACCTGGGGGCTGATGGGGACAACTTGCTCCCTACTGGCAGCAACCAAGTCAGCTATTCAGCTCCAGCTCATAGCCCTAATGCCCATAGGTTCCTACCTCAGCTCCTCTTCCTGGAAGTGGAAGTTGTGGTCAGGAGGGCTAAGGGATTGGCTTGGGGCCTGGTGGGCGATCCCTGCAGAGGTAGAGCCTTCTCCACTGGTTTCATGTGCTGTCACCCAGCTTTGGGTGGTAAACAGCTGAGGCTTCACTGTTCAGGGGCCCCTACATTTGGAGGCAATCTGGATTCCGTGGAACCCCCATCTGTGGCCAGATGTGAACACCAAGTGACTGCTTTACAGTGATGCAGTCGCCTATTGCACCCGTCAGCCAGCTGGGCACATCTGAACCCTCTGCCTTTTGTCTGCTTAGAGATGTTAAGGTGAGGACAGAGGCTCTAGTTATTCATAATGATGTTTCAGTGGCAGCTGAGTTAACACCGAGTCATTTACTTTATGAGCCAGTTCATGTTGCGCTCATCACAGTGCGAGGGACGTTGCACATGTGCTGCAAATGCTAACAACTATGGTTACTGTGTGCCAGGCACCATGCTGAGCCCCCCCTACCACTGGACGTCAGCTCATCACTCACATATGAAAGAGAGGCTCCTTTGTGCCTCAGCATCCTTATCTGTAGAATGGGTACAATCGTAGGACATGCCTCATAGGGTTATGTGATGATTCATTGAGAGAGCATGGCACTCAGTATGTGCTAGCTGTCACCATTATATACCTCTGATTGTTTCATTCTTGCCTATGCCCAGAATGTTCTTCCCACCTTTGCATATAGCTGACTTCTCATGCTTCAGGACTTGGTTCAAGGAACCTGACCACAGTGGAGCTCTTCCTGGTCACCCACTCTCTAACCCCACTGCAATTCATTGTCTGCTCTTTTCCTAGGCTGTGAACTCCAGGAGGGCAGGGACTTGACTTTTGTTCACTGCTGGCCTCTGCACCCAACAAGGTGCCTGTGTACAGTAGGTGTTTAATAAATGTAGCATGGATGAATAATCCTCAGCCATCTGCGCTTTATTCATTCCACAACTATACACCAAATACACAGTGGTGAGTATAATGTTTGGGTTTCTGGCTCTGGAGGTTCTTGCATTTTAGCAAATTTTTAAAGCTCTCTGACAGCTGGGTGTGATGGTACACATCTGTAATCCCAATACTCACGAAACTGAGGCAGGAGGATCACTGTGAGTTTGAAGCCAACGTAGGCTACATAGTGAGTTCAATTCCAGAAACCCAAGCCTCCCATAAATAAATGCAGGTGCTCTAACAGGGCTGCCAGGTATACTTGGGTTGCCTGCATATTGCACTAAGGCAGCTGGTCCAGGGGATGAATCGGCTGCTGCATACTAGCCTGGGTTTTGCTACCAAGCTGTGAGCTCTGGTGTGGTGTGCATAAGCCTGGAGGATCACCTGTTCATGATTAACACTAAGTCATATTAAGAGGTGGAAAACCAGGCATGGTGGTGCACACCTGTAATCCCAGTACTTGGGAGGCTGAGGCAAGAAGATTGCCAGGAGTTCAAAGCCAGCCTGAGCTATGTGGTGAGTTTAAGGTCAACTTGAACTACAGAGCAAAACCCTGTCTCAAAACAGACAAAAAGAGGTAGGTAAACTATTGTTCCCATGCCAGCAATGTGACATTCATGGTCATATCCCCTTAAGGAAAGAAGTCAAGATGTTAGCTGGGTATGTGATCTCTTTGGAGGCCCACTGTGTGGCATACAGGTGTGGTGTGCTGGAATGGCTCTTCGAGCCCTGTTTGTGAGGTGAGGAAGTGATATTGGGGGACTTAGACAAGATGGTGGGGTTCCACGTGCAATGAGCTTGACACCAGGCCTCTCCTCAGCCTTCTCACTACCTTCAGGCCTCTGTGCAAAAGCCTCCCTTCCCGTGCCGTTTCCCCACCTTCTTTCCCCATCTTTTCACATCCCCTTTGACCACCATCTTTTCCTGTCTCTTCACATCCCCTTCCTTGGAATCCTGTAGTCAGTTACAGCCATCTCTAGGGCAGCAGGCTACACTTCGAGTCTCCTCACCTGCACAGTGGGAACTGGCTTAATGTGAGGTGTGTCAAGGTGCTTTTAAAGTCCACAGTGCCCTGCAAACTGGGGGGATTACTGCCATCTTTCCATGAGTCTGCCAGGCCTCCTCATTTAACCTTTTCTCTTACTCATCCTCATCTTTAACAGAGGTCTACGACACTCCCTGTGGGGGGCCTCCACAATGCCACTGCTTTGAGATTCAGGCCTCAGTTCCACCATGGCCATCAGGCTTCCCTGCCACACCCTACAGGCTACTCCTGGCTTGCTGGGCTTGTGGAAACTGGGAGGGCTCAGTCTGGGACTCTCAGACCTGTCCTTTCTCCAAACCCCACTGAATCTTCAAATGGGGCGGGGGGCACTGAGTTTTTTGCCTATTACTAACCTCAAGGTCCAAAAGGACCCCTTTTGCAAAGTTCAAATAAATAATAATAAAACAACTCTGTGAAACTGGAGTTGCATACATTTTTTAATCGAAATAAGTCAGCCTAAGTATTGCTTTTACAGATTTATCGAAATCAGGTATTCACACTACTCACATTTTCAAAAATATATTTCTGGCCAGAGGAGCAGCAGGGCACTGCCCCAGTGCGAGGTCTCTGTCCTGCCAACTTGATGAAGAGCAAGCAACCTGAAATGAGTACATCAGAGCCCGAGCCTCGGTCCCAACATTTCCTCAGCATTTTTTTTTTTTCTGAGTCACCCCCAAAGCACTCACGGAGACCAGACTCAGGCTATGAACCCAGCTGGGCCTAAGGCTCAGCTGGCATAAGAAGGACCCAGGCATCGCCTTCGGTGCAGCTGCAACTTCATTTCGCAGTATCTTCTCTCGGGTGAAGTGGGGCAAGCAGGTGCCATGGGGAGTGAAGCGCGGGGCGGCAGCCTTGGCCGGGTGTAGGTAAACATCTGGCCTGACTGCGCGAGGTCACATGCCCATGCCCAGGTCAGGCCCTCTGAGTGACCGGCGAAGTCTTCTCCCCTCTGTGGGGACCAGAGCCTTCTCAGCCTGGGCACTTGGTCCCAATCTCTCTCTTCATTTTCCTGGGTTCAGACGGGGACCTCTCTGTTGGCACGAAGCTTTGGAGGGGAGCAGGCCTAACAAGAAGAAGGATGTTATTAGCAAGGAGACCCATCCTGCCACCAATCTGCAGACTCAGACAGTCCCCCAGGCCTCCAGAGGCTGGGGTGAGGCTGGGCAGGCTTGTTTCCTCCTTCAATTCCAGGAACCACCAGAAACCCTTGACTCGGGCTGGGATGTTTTTCTATTTTTACTACAAATACTTTTTAATGAATTCACTTACTGTAAGAGACTGAGGACTAGAGAAAGGGTGCAATTTTACATGGAGACAAAGCACTGTCCTGGCTACTGGGGCAGGGGACAGTGTCCAGGCAGGCTCAGCTTAGCAAGCTCTAGGGAGTGGATGGGACCTGCCAACTCCTCCCACCTCGTGAAAAGTGCTTTGTGGCCTGCAGGCAATGCTGGTGCAGCCAAGGCTCCTCAGCAGCAGCACCTGGATGCCCCTCCTGGGGCCCCACACAGCATCCTCCCCACGCTCGGACCCCATGACAAGTCCACTCTTCCCAGTCCCTCCGCTACCCAGTGGGGGCCAGCGCCACAGCAACACCTTGTATCCCCGGGCCCACCCTCCTGATAGCCCCCAAGTCCTTCCCAGTCGAGCCTCATGTTTGCTGGCTTGGACTCTTCTACGAACTTCACCAAGCATCAAGCAGAGCTATCGTGTCCAACACAATATGCACTCTTGGTCAACAAGGCGCTACTGCTCACACCAGGGGAGGACAACTTGTGGATGTTCTAGGCATGGCATGCTTAGCAGCATCCCTGGCCCCTGATTGCTAAGTGCCGGTAGCACCTCCAGTCATGATGATAGCTAAAAATGTCTCCAGACTCGTTTCTGAGGGCCACATAATGGGGCAGAACTATTTCCATTGAGAAACGTATGACTTCGTTTTAGAGGCTAAGAAAACAGAGGCTGACAAACCTAGTGACAGCTGCATACCTGTAAAAGAGCTGATGCTGGACTAGTAACACAGATGGGCATGATCACGGTCAGGATAGTGCCCACTACCTGGGCACTTATTGTGTGTCACTAACTGCAGCAGAAGGTGCAGCTCTCTCACCCCTTCCAGGGTACTGACTGGGCTTGCGCTGAGACCTCTTTTGGCCTCCAGAACCTGCCCAGCCCACAGGCTTCTAGCTCAGGCAGAGTTAATGTGTTCCTGTATCCTACAAACTGCCCTCCACTAGGGCCAGCCAGCAGGACAGGGTACCGATACCCCAGGCCCTCTGCAGTGGCCAGGGTGACTCTGAGGCATGTTGCACCTGACTCCTCACCTTATTATGGTCTGCTGGGAGGACAGTGAGCCTGAGAGAGAAGGCTCTCCATGTCACTCTGTTCAAAACTAACCACCCTGGGAATTGGGAACTAAGACTCCATTTGATAGAAGATGCTCACCTCAGAGGTGCTGGACTCTGGTGTCCAACCTATGGCATGGGTGTGACTTTTTTTTTTTTTTTTAAAGGCAAAAGATGTTAATGTATGAGTTTTTTCTAAACTAAAGCTTCAGTATTCAGGTTTCATTGCAGTGTTGGCAATTGGTGGTGAATAAGGGGGTTCTGGGCTGTAGTTTGGGCCTCATCCCTAAAAGGTTTAGTACCATTGTCTAGAGCCTGGCTTTCCCCATAGCTTTGTGTTATGTCACATTCTATTTTATTTTTTGCAGAACCGGGGATTGAACTCAGGCCCTCATGCTTGCCAGGGAAGCACTTATTCTGAGTTATCTCCCGGGTCACATTTTATTTTTAATTGTGTGTGTGTGTGTGTGTGTGTGTGTGTGTGTGTGTGTGTATGTGTGTGTGTGTGTGTTGCCAGGGATGCAAGCCCAGGGCTGTCCATACATGTTAGACAAGTACCATCGGGCTATACCCTCTGCCCCATTGTTAGACCTGGATGTGGGCACTCCATGAAGAACTCCAGGCTGCCCTGGACTTAAGAGACACAATCTACCTAGCAAGCAATTTCAGCCTGAGGCAATGACTCATCAATAGGAAGGAGGTGGTCTCAGGTATCAGGGAGAAGAAAGGGCCAGGAAGAAGAGGGCTGGCAGGGCTATCAGCCTCTAGTGCTTTGGTAGAGTGGGAGTGGGGCAGGTAGGAGGCAGGGGACAAATCAGCCAAGTTTTTATGTCTTAAGCCAGACTCATTTGTCACATGCCACCTGGGACCATGTCCTGCCAATGCTCAGAAACCTTCCTTGGCTCCCACTGACCCCATAGAATGCTGGTGGAGGGGAAACAGGGGCTACAGCCAGGGCACTCTGGGCTCCACTCTCATCTCCCCAGAGTGTGCCTGCTGCTGACCTCCCTCCAAGGAACCTCTGGGGGTGCTGGGGGGGAGAGATGTGGGTCAGGGGTGGTACTGTGACCTCTAGTGACCAGAAAGCTGCAGAACTATTTGTTCAGATTTGCTCTCCTCGGTGCTCACAGTGGTGATCCTCAAGGTCCTGGGGTCGGCCTGTCTCAGGCTTATGTGGATGGTGCTGCAGACTCGAACCACCGGGGAGGCCTCCCTCGTCACCTTATGACTACAGGCAGCATGCCACAGTTCCCACAGGTCAGGGCCAGCTGGAGCACACATCACATGAGCTCCCCAAGCAGGCATAGGTCTTGCCCGGGCTCTGCTGCTCCTGTCATTGGATTTATCTTGAGGATCACCTTCTACTTTGAGCAAATGATCAAAACATTTATTTCATTTCAAAAAGAGCTGATTTAAGGAAAACAGGTTGTTCAGGTTGGCAGACACAGCAGCATGCATGAGTCATCTAGGCATGGGAGACCTATGTGAATTGGGTCCACTCCCTGCAGAGCTGAGAATGGTCTGGGAAGGGTGGTGAGCTGTCTGAAGCCACACAGCAAGTTGAGGAGAGATGTGATCCCAGGTTTTAGTATGTGCAGCCAGAGGATGTCCTGGATGCTGGTGCACTTGCATCTGTCACCCACTTTGGCTGTTACACAATAAGCCCTTGTTCCTCCGACTTGCAAGTGTGGCTTTGGCAGCCCACCAATGACAAACAGCATACCAGCTGACACTTACGAAGCACTTCCTTCTTTATGTTCACCTTGTACCTGCTGCTTTAGCTCCTGTCAGACCATTTATTTTCAGAACCCAGTAGGGAGGGCTGAACAGAACCAGTACCCCTGTACTCCAGATGGGGCTCAGGGAGGGTAAGCCAGTAGTGCAAGGCCATAGTTTTTAAGTGATGGAGCCAAGATTTGAACCTGAGCCCACACCCTTTCCTCCAGTCATCAAGAGCCTCAGACTGAAAACATCCCAGGCCTGCAGTTTATGGAATCCAGGGCAGCAGGTTCTCCACCCTCTGACATCAATAGAACATGACAGACAATTAATTAGCCATTAGTTGTTTTGTTTTCTTCTTTCTGACACTAGAACCTTTCATTATAAGTCATTCCAGGTTACTCCCTGGTGGCTGGACAGAGGCAGAAGCTGGGTGGCTCAGACAGCTGAAAACAATGTCTTTCCTCAATACTTCCAAAGAGAAGCTGTCTGGTACGGGATTAGGGGTAAGCAGGAGAAGAGTTCTTGTTGAGAATACTGGTGGAAAGGTACCCTGGACAGCCAGCTTCAAAGGTGGTTCCTTTCTGCAGTTCACTGCTCCATGGCCTATTGCTCTGGTCAGTCAGTGTAAATGCTGGAATCAGCCTGTGACCTCAGGCAAGTCACCCAACCTCTGTGGGCCCATTTCATCATCTGCCAATGGGACAAATGCCCCCCTGCACTGGGATCTATGGCAATACCCAGCATGCACAAGGCATCTGCACCTGGCGGCCTGACTCCTCTTTTTCTCCAGCTTTGGTCCCATCTAGATCCCAGCAGCAGCAGAGAGCATCTAGGGTCCAAACACTTTGCATTCCAAAATCCAGCCACTCATCCCTCTTTCTCCATGTGCCTGAGGACCCGCAACAGTGGCTTCACCCCACGTGAGCTGCCCAGAGCCTCCACTGTTCTGGTGGCAGGCTGTGCAGCAAGGAGGCCTCACCTGGCTCACTGGTAGGCATGGCTGGGGGCTCACCACTGCCCTGGCTGCCACAAGGCTATTAGCAAAGGAGGAACTATCTGTTCTCCACATTGGCTGGAGTTGCTGAGGGGAGCCAGCATCATGGAGGAACAAGAGCCACTTTCTCATGTCCAGGGTCTAGTTCCATGCTGGCTGAAGAAGCTCAGCGTCATGGGCCATGTGAAGATGTGTGGTCTACAATATATCCCCAGCTGCCCGCCATTCACCGTTCTTTCAGAAGGCAACATTTATACCACAGCTGAGCCTTGTCATATCCAAGAACCACTTGAACTGTTATTAAATTATCTGTATAGGTTACATAACCCCTATCTGAAGCGCTTGGACCACAAGTGTTTCAAATTTTGGATTTGGGAATATTTGTATCCAAATACTGAGATCCTGGGGATAGAATCCAAGTCTAAATGTAAAATCCATTCATACCTTATGCACAGTGTCTGAAGATAATTTTCCACCATATTTTTAGTGCACCTGCATTTTGATTGTTATTTGTCCCATGAGGCTGGGGTGGGATTTTTTACTGATGGCATCAGGTCAGCACTCAGAACTTCAGGATTTTGGAGCATTAAGCACTTTCAGATTCGGGATGTTCAATCTGCATTTTAAAATCAATGCCTTTACAAAAATGGATTTACAAGGGCCGGCCAGATAGCTCAGCGGTCTAAAGCACCTGCTTAGGCAGAGTGCAGCAGCCGAGGCCTGATCCCTGGCGTGTGATGTTGGTCCCGCCCCAGAAGTGCACTGAGATGGCGATTGAGACTGGGTGTGGTGGTGTGCACCTGTAATCGCAGTGCTTGGGAGGCTGAAAACAGGAGAATCATTGAGTCCGATCTACATAGTGAGACCCTGTACTAAATACATTAAAAAGTCTTTTATCTTTACAAAAAGATTCAAGCTTTGAAGGAAACATTTATGTCACTATCATGAATAAAATACAGTATCTGTTGTCATAAACAGAAGGCAGTGCTGGAGACCCAGTGAAGA